GGAGTAAATAAAGCTCTTCTCAGATCTGACATTTGGTAATGCGTTACTTAGCCTGATTCTGGAGTCGGGTCCAGAACCCAGAAAGTCAACAGTAATAAACCAATGCGAAATTGCCCCTTGTGGCTTAGTGTTGGGCAAGAAAATTCAGTCACACCCCAGGCAGTGCAATGTTCACCCCTGCGACGCTTCAGAGAGGGGACGATGTGGCTGTGGGCAGAGCTTGGAAAACTGGCCTGGGTATCACAACTAGGCACTGGTCTTCAGAATGCTAAAGTCTTTAAAGAGCTGAGAAGTAGACAAAATAGGGAAAACATGCTAAGGACTCAAAGTGATTGTGTCATTTATAAAATGAAACTTGACAAGCATTTACTTTAAAATATGAGCTTAATCCAGAAGTGTTCTTAGACAAATTGATTTAGTTTTAAATCTTTCAAATGTCAAAGTGATTGAGAGAGAAGGAAGAAGAAAGAAAGAAAGAAAGAGAGAGAGAGAAAGAAAGAAAGGAAGGAAGGAAGAAAGAAAGAAAGAAAGAAAGAAAGAAAGAAAGAAAGAAAGAAGAAAAGGAAAGGAAGGAAGAAAGAAAGGGAAAGGCAGAGAAGGAGGAGGGCAGGAAGGAAGGGAGGTTGATCCAGACTCCTCAACAGATGAAAACCTCAAAGGGATTGTTTCTGAGGGTTTGATCCTTATAAAACACCTACTTCCTCTTGCTATAAACTAAGCTAATAATGCTGTCAGCTAATGTTGCTCATTGCATACTAGGCCCTTTGAGTTACACAGGAATGTCACATTTATCTACATAAGGTGTTTAGGAAGAAGGCACTACAGTTTGCTGTTTAACATATTAGGAAAACAAGGCTTACAAAGAATAAATAACTTGATCCATATGCCTTCCATACCAATTTGGGGGTAGGGGACTCTGCCTTCAGAATCAGTGAGCTCCAATGTGATGTGATGCTGCCCCCAAGAAGCTGGAAGGGGAGTCCCGCCAGGCACTGGCCACTTCCCACACCTGCATGAGAATCCCTCCTCTCTGGACAGGTCTTCAGGCTGTGCACTGCTCAGGGTTGCCTCATCTGAGGCAATGGCTGTCACTCGAGAAGTGTGTTCTGATGGGTGGGACGCTGTTGGTGGGGGTGAAGGACTGCAGCCCCAGCACTGGAGACGCTCAGTCCTCAGGTGGCAGCACACAGAGCTGGCTCAGTCACCAGCACATACCTGCACAATTCTGCCCCATCCCAGCTGTACTCCCAGCATCCCACGGGGCCCTCCCCTCCTTCCCCTGCTGCAGAGGCCAGTCCTGCCCCCGCCTCTTCTCCCACCCAGGAGAATGCCTGGAGAACAAGCTGCTCGCATGGGCTGGGGCGGCAGCGTACTCTGGAGCCACTCCTAAGGGTGAAGGGCCCTTTTCAATCGGCCCACGATGCCATCACACCCCAGCGGGGGTCCTTACCTTCAGTCTCCAGCAACTCCATTCCTGGTGCAAGATCAGCAGTTGACATCTTTCCGAGGAAAGAAGCCCCATAAGCTGTCTCACGGGGAATTACTGGGGTATTTTTAAGTGTGTCATGCCTTGGATAAGCCACACTTTTCCCCGTTCTCTTCCCATGAAGCCCATCACACTTATTGAATTGTTCTTTGCCCGCAGCATGAATTGGTAATCACCAAGCCATGGAGTCAGTGACCCAAAGGCCCAAGCTGCCTCTTCGGAGGAGCTGGAGGGGCCAGGTCAGCCAGAGGACAGCAACCGCCAGGCAGACAGCAGGGGAATTACTGTCCCGAATCTGGAAGCTTCCCTTCCCTCCTGCCCAGTGCTTGGGTCACTCGTTCTGGAGATCCCTGTGTGGGCTGGCTAAGCTGAGCATCCTGAAAAGTCAGGGACCCTGTGCTGGAAAACACCACTGTTACTGCCTTTGAAAAGTTCTGTAGGGGCAGGAGACAGTAAGGGCAGGAAGGAACCAGGACAGCCTCCTCTTCTAAGCACTAAGGCCCAGAGAGAGGGACCCAGTACAAGTGGCAGGGAGGTGAGTGGCAGCACGGTGCTCTCCCCCGGGCTTCTAGAGCTGACTCCCACTGCCTCGCAACACAGCACCCTGTTTCTCCAGGGTCACAGAGAGTGACCAGGGGACATCCCAGCACCAGCGTCTCCTGGGGGAAGAGTCCAGGGGGACCTTGTTTCCAGACAGAGATGGATGGAGAAGCCCCATGCAAGCCCAGAGAATGCAAGGTGAGATGAAGCTTTCTCCTGAAGGTTGGGGGCTTGCTCTGAATGCAGGGGGGTGAGGGTGCAGCAGCAGCTGTCACATGCGCCCCCAGGTCCCCTCCAGGAAGGTGGGCTCCTTTCCTAGAGGCTAGGTGAGGCTCCTGGAGTTCAGGCCACAGGCCTCCATGCTCCTCCTCTGCTCAGCCCCAACAGAGAGAATGGTTCCTCTGAGAGCCCAGGTGAAAAGAGAAGAGGAGCATGTAGACCATTTAGGCAAAGCTCTGCTTCCACCCTGGAAAAGAGTAAACAGCTGGTCGGCTCATGGCATCAGCCTCAAGCAGAGCGGAAGCTCTAGAGTCCCGTTCTACGCTCTTCCTCTACCCCGCCCGCACCACTTCCCTTCTTGTCTGCTTCCAGAGATGGGATGGAAGAGGGCTCAGAGGGTGGCAAAGGACTGGGGAGTCACACAGCAGCCTGCGCTGGAGATGAGGGGCTTCCAGCAGGGCGCGGGTGGCAAGGGAGCGCCCCATGGGGCCGACCCCCTGAGACACAGCGTGCTCTGACTCAGCCTGCGGCCCAGGCCACGGTATTGGCACTTCCCGCCTCCCGAAGCAAGGATTTCTAAAGGTCATTGGCAGGGAGCATAACTTGGAGACATTTGGCTGAGTGTTATCCCTCCAGCCCCCCAATCAAGAGTGATAACTTTCTGGAGACCTTTTATCTTGCACATTGTGCTTCCTCATTGCCCCTTGGAGGTGGCTTTTGCTCCTGAAGCAGAGATACTGCTGCACCACCAGGCTTCGGAGGATTAAGGAACAAGGTGGCACAGTGCAGAGACTTTGGCCCCAATCAGGGCTGCATTAGGATTTGGCACCTTCGGGAAGTTGGCGAGGGTGGGTGAGGGCACCAGCCCCAGAGGCCGCTGGACTTGCTGAATACTGACCCAAGTAGGGACAGGGGCAGGCCTGCCCAGAAGAGCCCCCCGGGAGGAGTTTCCAGGAAGTGGCCCGGACTGCCTCGGCAGTGCCCAAGAGGGGCTCTGCTGACGGGAGGGCGGTGAGCTGCGAGGAACCTGAGCGCCGAGTAAATCTGACCACTCGTGGGCCTCAGCCGGACAGAGCCAGCGGGTTGACGAGGGGCGCTGCAGGCCAATGCTCACTCCCAGCTCCCTCCTCTCTTCTCCTGCCCACTGCTCTTCCCTTCTCCCCGTCTCTGTGTCCTCTGCCTGTTTCTCCCCCTGTTCCCCTCTCTCCTCCTTTTGATCCCTCGGGCACAGTGCATATCCCAGAGAGGCCCATGGCGTGGCGTGGCTGAGTCTGTCTGTGGCCAGGTGATGGCCTGTAAACACCTGCTCTTCTCTTCTGTGTGTATTAATTTTACAGCAGTTGAGTCTCAACGTGCCATTTCCTACATGCATATGACATTCCAGTCTTCCCCTACCCACCCCACTGCTCTCGTTCACACCCTTCCCCTGGTCTCGCTGTTACTTTCCTGTTATTCCTTTTCTTTCCTAGATTCTACATATCAGGAAAGCAGGTGACACCTGTCTTTCTGAGTTTGACTAATGCCAGTTAGCACTATACTCTTCAGTTCCATCCGTTTTCCTGCAGATGACACGATTCTGTTCTTTCTGGCTGAACAAAACCCCATGGTGTGTGCATTCCACCTTCTCTTTGTGCATTCCTCCTTCGAGGGCACCTCACAGCTTCCCAGGATGGCCACTGTGGCTAGTGCAAGCATCAGTGATTAGCCTCAGCGAAGCATGAATTACGGCAGGAAGGAAAAAACAGTGGCCAGCTACAGGGTTCAAAACCTGCAGGCAGGAAGCAGGCAAATTCAAAGAGCAGATTTGTAGTCAATCCAAAGGCACCTGTGAATATCCTATGGAGAACACAGGAGGAACACAATGTGCTACCTCTTTTTAATCAGCATTCAGCCAAAGGCCGTGGAGTGGTGACCCTTACGTTGTGCACTGGAAACGTGGTGGGCTCATGTGTCATACACCACAGTGTGCCAGTCCTGCCTCAAGAGGGCACAGGGTGAGCCCAAGAGTCCTGTCCCCAAGGAGATCCCTGGCCAGGGGACAAGGCCAGAACAGGGGAAATCAGTGTGGACTGGGAGGGAGATCAGGTAGACAGGGAGAACACTCTAGAAGCTTCTGAAACAGAGCAGAAGCGTAACTGGGCGCGACAGCTACTTGGCCAGAGGTTTAATTTTAACTCCCTCTTTCGGATGGGAGGCACCTGATGCAGAACAGAAAGCTTCCCCTGAAGCAGCCAGTCCTCCTCTGCAGGGAGGAAGGGGCAAGGGAGGGAGGGAGGGAGGGAGGGGATCGCTCTCTGCCCAGGCCCAGGCCCACCACCTCTGCCACTCTGGGACTTGCCTTGTAAGACAATAACCCCACACGGAGTCTCACTACCCTGGAGGCAAATGGATCCCCAGACTGCTCTTTCCAAGACCCTGTGATTCCAACAAGGGTCTGAGCTCCCAACACGTGGTCTTTCCGGACTCTGTGCTGGCAAGTGGAGGCCAGGATGGGAATCCCACTGAGGGAGTTCTGTCTCTTCTGAACCCAGAAACCCCTGGGGGAGGGCTCTTTAACCGTGATGGCAGTGGCCCAGGCCAAATGTTCACACTGTGTGAGGACAGGGCTCCTCTCCCAGAAAGGCGCTCAGATTTATCCAGCCTCATCCCTCTCTGAGCACAGCGAGACCCTGAAGTGAGAAGATGCTCGGCCTGGGGCTGCCCGCTGCCCAACCAGCTTCCCTTTGCCTCCTTCAGCTCCTGGTTCCATTGACAGCATCTTTTGCAGGTCGCCAAGCAGGGGGCAGAATGGAGAACGCCCTTCCGTCTCCTCCTCATACTGTGTCTGCTACGAGGTGAGTCCCAGTGGCAGCCCAGATTCAGGGCCTGCAGAACCAGCCCGACGCTTCCAGGCTGCTGAGGTCCTGGCGGGCCCGGGGGGAGCCTGCACTTCGTGGCTTCCTCTCGTGTGGAGGCAGGGAGAAGCCAGAGCAGGCAGTGGTCTCCCAGTGCATGCACTGGCTCCGGGCAGAGGTGGAGCGGTACGCAAAGGTCAGAAGTAGCAAAGATTCGTTTCACTCATTCTACAAACACGTGGGGGGGTCTTAATTTCTCTGTTTATAAAGAAACTCTATGGGCAAATAAAAATTATCTTTATTCATTTCCTAATTTATTTAATGTGCACCTGTGAAGAGCTGACTACATGCCAGGCACAGGAGACAGAGGAGTGAAAGAAGGGTCTCTGCCCTACGGGTCCTTGTAGATGGGTGTGGTGAGGCTGCTCAGATGACAGATGGCCCTGTCTCCATGCAGTGCCAGCCAGATTTTATTCAGATGACAATGGGGAGCCACTGAGGAATATAAAGTATGTGTCTAGGGTACTCACTGCCTAGAATCTAGTCCCAAACAGATGCCTAACAAATTATCATTGAATGAACTAATGAATGGGTGGAAATACCATGATAACAGCGAAAAGGGTCCACAAATCAAAGTCCTAATGAATCAAAGTCTTAACGAGTCAAAGCTACTATTTGAGCAAGCACTCTTATTTCATATAGTCACAGAACTTTTGCATTCCAATCTGGTTTTCCCCTTTAAAATTTTTCTTTTTATTTATTTATTTATTTTTTCCCCTTTAAAATTTTTCAGTAAAGGTAGGTTTCCACTGCCCCAAGTCAGGCAGGCCCACGCTTTTCCTGCTGACGTGTAGTTCCAAATGAGCTGTGTTACGTCTCCGTGTTCTAATGCAGTCATTTGAAGTAGCAGTTAAGCGGTTTGGTCAGATGCAGATCTTCATTCAGAGATGTACCCTGCAGCCCCCTCAGCCCTCCAGACTAGGAAGGCTGCGTCCTGGCCTCCCTCTCCTCTGCCGCTCGCTCTGTCCCTGCCACCTGCAACCCCAGCAGGTCAGGCAGTGAGAGGAGGAGAGGGAGCTCAGGCAGCTCTTTTGGGCAGGGTGGCCAGGCAGGGGCTTGAGCTGGCTCTTCCCTCTTCCTCTTTGGGTGTCTTGTGGCCATCGGTGGCCCTAACAGCTCAGCCCTCCCTGTGCCCAGGTTCTTCTTTGGCCCCCCCACACAGTGGACCCCATCTCGGACGGCTGCGGGCTGGCCCCCCTCCTCCTGGGACCCATCTCTGTGCCGAGGAAGCCCTCTCGTCCTCCTCAGCCCTCTGCAGGCGGGAGCCAAGATCCTTCACAGGTACAAGCCCTGTCCTGAGACCTGCTTCTCAAAGCAAGCTGCCCATAGCCTCCCTCTAGCTCCCGATGGGAGTCACAGCAACTGACAGCCTCGGGGTAGCTACTGCTGGTGACAGCCAGGGGCACCCACCTCCAATGAGGGGCGGAGAACTGGCCTCAGGGCCCCCCTCCGACTACCATATGCTTCCTCAAATGCTAGCCTCTGCTCTAATTCTCACAAGCGACTAATGTGAAATTCCAAAAAACCTTAATGATTACATAATACAAGGAGCTACTGCTTGGTAACTTATCAAATATATTTTAATAGTATTGGTTAACTTTGATGTTAATAAAAATGATATGCATTGCAAGAAGAATTCTTAGCCATCTTTCTACTGTGAAGTCAGACTGCCTAGTGCTGGAGATCAATGAATCTGTACTCATCTGACATGTGACATATGTACAGCGCAGGGACTCCTAAAACCTGGCTATAAGCATTTTATTGGGGCGTCACCGCTGCTGCCTTCAGATGGCCCATTGTGATAGTAAACATTCTTACCCTTTATTAATACATCACTGTTCAACTTGATTATCAGTTGCGTGGATCGGGGGATGCTGTTTAATTAAATCTAGAGTGAGCATGCATACACCCATAGCATGCCCGACCTTAATTTTCCTGTCATTAGACCTCAGGACACACAGAATGCACAGATCACACAAGGTGCTGCTCTCCAACAGTGCTTGACTCATTTTCTGGTGAGGCTGCATAAAATTCTTCAGAAACTTTGGACAAGGAGTCTCCCATTTTCACTTGTACTTGTCATTTGCAGATCTTGCACCGAGACTCACAAATTAGCAGCCCAGCAATGCGGTGTTAAACAGAACATTCTTGGGTACAGAGAGCTAGGGGCCAAGAGCCAATCATGAGGCACCCACACCCTAAAGCAAGATGGGGAACCAATTTGTAGGACTGCAGACTGAGACTGTAAAGCTAGTCCCAGTGCTGGCCCATCGTGCAGCCACCTGGGCCATTACATATGGCTCCTTAGAGGCAGAGAGCTCCCATGAGACCACTGGAGGGGGAGCTATCAGCTGTTCGGTCCCCTTCCTCCTGCCCTGGGGCCCAGAGGGATCACTCCCTCTCACATTAGGCCAAATAAGAGAAGGAGCTTCTAGAGAACCACCCAAGTTTGTCATGTGTCCCAGGTTTCTTCTAATAGCAGGATAAGGGTGTGGCACCTGTGGCCACATGTGGGGCCTCCACCTCATGGGCACCCAGAGGGGATCGTGACCACTAACAGAGGGCCAGTGGGCTAGAAGCCACCAAGAAAGCCTTTGGGGCCCAGAAAGAGGACATCTTGGCCATGCCAGAGAACACCAAGGGCAGATTATAACTATCTATTTACCTCCTTGCTCTTCTCCGTGCCCGGTCCTGGAGGGGCCCCAAACTGCAGCTTTGAGTAGAGGAGGGGAAAGTACAGCACAGGACCCAACCTGCCACTCCTTCCCCAGGTGGCCGCCAAAAGAAGAAAGGCCCCACTGAGTGAGCGACTGCAGTGCACTCTCCTCTGACTGAGCCAGGTGTATAATTTTATACTAGACTGGACTTTCCTATCTAGGACAGACAGTAAAAGCTACTAGACATGAGACTGCACCTGTGATTTCTCCGAGGAGCAGACAAAGTTGTGAAGAGGCAGTGGGAAAGAGAATGAGCTTTTTTCGGTTTGCACTATAGCAGACTGCAGTCATTCTGTAAGCTGACCACGCTCTGCGGCTCCAGTGTGAGTTGTCTTTGGGGCTGTTGCCAAAGCAGGTGTCCATCTGCCTCGGTTGTTTCCATGTCTCTAGAAAAGTGGTCAGTGTGAAAAACTTTGCAGCTACTGGTCTAGGGGTATATACATCCTAGATCAGGCAGGCAGAGCAGGATTCTTTGGTTCGGAGGAAAAGCACACCGACATGTTCACCTCGCTCAGCATCTGTCTTTTAAATGCCATGCAAACCAGAGGTTGCTTCCGCCCTCTCATGGGAGCGACGATGGCATCTGCACTGACGCACAGTGGGATCAACCCATGATCTGCACACGATAAGTATTAGCAATGTAGTGTGTGGGGATGAGGGGTGGTGGCACACACCGGAAAGCCCAGCTAATCGAGAAGCTGAGGCTAGAGGATCACGGGTTTGTGAGCAAAAACAAACTTTGTGTTAGGAAAACCCCACTCAAAATTATGCTTCAGCGAAATGGGGGAGGGTGTAGAGTGGGAGAGTGCTCTTGACGCAGGGCCCTGGGTTCAATCTCAGTGCTGGGGGAAAAAAGTGGGCAAGATTCTCACTGCGTTTTCATGTTGTACATGGAGCCTTGCACCCTGCTCCAGTCCGTATCTTGGGGCAGCTCCTGCTTCCTCCACGCCTCAGCTCTGCCATTTCTATGTTAATTCTACTCCACTTTCACAGTCCTGTCTTCTGTCCTGACCCTTAGAGCTAGCAGAGTTTGCCTTGTAACTCCCCAATGGTGAGGACACCCACCCCTCTGTCGCCGTCAGCTGTTCTCTCCATTTGCAGCTGCAAGTACACTGAACAGCCCAAGGCTGGTGTCTGGAGAGCTTGGAGGAGCTGTGACCATCCAGTGCCATTACGCCCCCCTGTCCATCAACAGGCACCAGAGGAAGTACTGGTGCCGCGTGGGGCCTCCAATGTGGACCTGCCACACTATCGTGTCCACCAACCACTACACCCACCGTGACTACCGTGGCCGTGCAGCTCTAGCAGACTTCCCACAGAGCAGCTTGTTTGTGGTGAGGCTGTCCCAACTGTCCATGGAAGACGGGGGACACTACCGCTGCGGCATTGGGGACAGCAACAACAGGCTGTTCTCCAGCGTGAATCTGACTGTCTCTGCAGGTGAGAGCTGATGGCCAATGGGCTGTGCTTGGAGAAGCTCAAGCTAGGAAGCAGTGGTGGCAAGAGAAAGTTTGCAGGGCCAGGAAAGCTTTAGGCCTTGGAGGAGTGAGCTGAAAGGCTGGGCCAGGGCAATGGCTCTAAGAGGCAGCCTTTCCTCATGGGAGGCAATTTCCAGAAAGAAGGGAGGTATTAGGAAAAAACAACTGAGTGCACCCAAATTCCCCCACCCAACTCTCCCAACACCGGCTAATCAGTCAGCTTCCTGTTGCTGGCGCACAATACTTGGCACTCACAACGTAAAGGAGGAGAGGTTTAATTTGGCTCATGATTTCTGAGGATTCAGTCCATGGCAAGCCAGCTCCAAGGCAGAAACATCAAGGCAGAAGGGCACGGCAGGGCCAAAATGCTTAGCTCGTGGTGACTGGGAAGCAGAGCAGGGAAGCAGTGCCAGAGAGGAAGGGATGAGGGACCAGACTCAGACTCCAAGATCGCACCTCCATGATCACCCAGACACACCCAGATGTGAGCTCCACTGATCCCTGGGAAGATTCCAAAGCCAATCAAGTTGACACTCCACCCGAATGGCCATACCCTGGATGTTGTGGAATATATATTTGGAGATTGTTCCAGGAAGGTAGTAAATTGGATCATATGGCATCTTAGGGTCCTGAGGGCAACATATTGTGGCATACAGATCAGGGGTAGCACTGCAGAGCAGCCTGACAGACAGAAAAGAGCCGGGACAACCTCTTCCCTGACAGACCCTTCCTCGGCCCCTCTGCAGACAGCAGGCAGCCCCTAGGCCCAGGCCCTGGGGACAGGTTCTGGAGGGTTGGTCCAGAGCAGGCACCCAGAGTACAAGCAGGGACACCAGGCTTTGGAAGCCACAGTCCATCAGGACCGCCAGCTAGGAGAGCAGTTGGGCTTTATTGGATGCTTCTGTCCCTGCTGCCACTGCTGGCTGCTGTTTGGGAACTGCAGTGCTTCTCTTCCTTTCTCTCAAGAGGAGACCCTGATAGGCTGAGGCCTCTGGAGAAAGCAGACGCACGGGGACCTGGGGCAGCGGGATGGAGACTACGTGGGCCTGGGAGAAGGCCATAGGAGTATAAGATATCAGTATTTGCATGAGATGAGAGAATATCTATATATATCCATGAGATGGGAAAATATAGGAGACGAGAGAATAATTCTGAATATATCCAGGATCCTTACCTTGCTGTTGTATCCCAACATATCGGCCAAACACTGCACCTCTTAGTGAGGGTGCGGCCTGTTTAACAAACATTTTAAACCCAGTGCCCTTTGCTAAATCCACTGGGCAGCCTGGGTAGCCTCTCCCTGTGCTCTCCTCTGGCATTCCCACAGGTTCTTCCAGCACCATCCCTACAGCCCCTGCAGCTGCTGACGCATTCCTCACAGCATCCTTCAGGACGGCATCGCCAGCAGCCGATAGATGGACTTCAGGATCTACCCAGACTCTGGAAGGACAGAGGACGAAGTGGGACAGAGTTGTCCCAACTACAGAAACCAGGAGAACCACAGCTTCAGCTAAGAGAAGACAAACCCCAGGGACAGTCAGGGCAGTAGCTTTGGGGACAGATAGGGGTGCAGAAGGTTCCACTGAGGCAACCGTCCCCGTCCCACAGAGTCCAGTTTCCAAACTCAGAGGCGTGTCCACTACAACAGAGGATGTCTGGGGATGGGGCACTGGGAGCATGGTAACAGAGGGGACTGGGGTCAGTGAGGGTGGAAAAGAGGTGACAACTACTGAGGCCAGTAAGCCAGGGGAGCAAACAGAGACCACTGAGACAGCTGTGGATGCAGCCAGGAAGAGCACAGAAACCACTTCGCCACCAGCCCAGGCCTGGGAAACTCTACCAGAAGCAACTATGGTCTCTAAGCAACAAGCGCTGGTCTCCGCTGAAGGAGCAACCCCGGCTGCAGGTCCATGGACCTTGGACACCACCCGCAGAGAGACAGCATCTGTGGAAGGAAGCACCGAGGCGGAGCTCAGCAGCGCTGCTGGAGACCAGGGTCCCCAAGCAACGACGAGTCAGGGCCCAGCAGCGCGACCCCAGAGACCCCCTGGCAAGGAGTCCTCCGAGAAGAGGTGAGGCCCAGGCTCTGCTCTGGTCCCCGCACCTCCCTTCCCTCTGCTCAGTTCTGGCCCTTCGTGCCTGCAGGACGTAAAGGGCAGGGATGAACGTCAGACACCGGTGCTGTGCACCCTGGGAGGAGGCTACCTACGTATTCCCATGGAGTTTGCAAGCGCAATATAAATGACAGAATGATCACAGTTTTAGGCTGGAACATTCCAGACCTTTTTAAAGTTAAGATAAAGAGCAGATGGTCCAGAGAGAGGAGCACTGAAAGCACAAGGAATGATGGTAGTGGAGCCCAATGCCAAGGCGGAGTCCCTGACCCACAGTGTCCTCTTTCTTGCTGTGGGCACAGCACTCGGGAAGGGGGAGGAGGACAGGGGCTGGGGCTGCAGAGCCTGGAGATGACATTTCTACTTTTTTTTTGGTACCGGGGATCGAACTCGGGTAATTGCGCTCGCGCAGCAGGCGGCAAAACCACTGAGCTAAATCCCTGGCCCGAGATGACATTTCTAGTTCCAGCTGGGCTACCAACAGCCGTGGTCTGAGGGTGGCCAACTTGGCTCGGCTTCTCCACCTGTGAAACAAGCGAGGGCTGGGGGGCAGCGGTCTTCAGCCTGTCCATCTCCAACCTCCCTCTCCTGTGTTCTTCCCATCCGGCCCTGGCTCCTTCCAGTGCTTTTCCAGAAGATGAAAGCGGCTCATGGGCCCTGGCTCCAGTCTCCGCCATGCTGGCTCCGTTTCTGTTTGTGGCTCTGCTCCTGTGGCAAAGGCGGCTCTGGAGGAGGAGGAGGAGGAGAAGGAGCTGTGAGTGAGTTTACATAGCTCCAAGGCTGGGGAAAGGTGTGCTAGGTCCTACCCCGCACCCTGGGGGCTGGGCTGGGTTAGAGTCAGCGCTAGGACTTCTGCCCACACAGAGCTAAATTCTTGTCTGAGGCATTCGACCACATTTGGCGTCGACCTCTTCTGCATTTGTCTCAGTAGCAGCCCAGAGCTGAAGGAGAAGCTCTCTGGAGATTGGCAGGATCTATGTTAACCAGAGGGATGGAGCAACCTAAGCAGCCTCAGCGGCAGAGGCAGGAGGGCAGGGCCCAGCCCTGGGCCCAACTCTGCCTCAGGCACCCTTTGGTACAGCCCACTGATTTCCTCTCAGAGCGCCGTGCATACCAGGCTTAAACACACTAAAGCGAGTGCTCCCAGGTGTACAGACCTGGTGGAGACAAGACGAGCAAGAAGAAGAGTCTGTGGCTCTCAGAGCTGGGCCCCAAAGGCTTGGCCCAACCACTGTGGCTCTAAAGCGCACCCTTCCGGGTGGCGTTCTCAGAAACTTGCATGGGGCGGAGGTGTTCTCAGGGAATCAGGTCCAGCACTGTCTGCCCCAGAATCTTCACAGTCTTCCCTGTGTCTCTGCAGCTCAGGGAGCAGAGGGGACACCGAGAATCGCCCTGATCCAGATGACACGTTTCCTGGAGCTGAACCACCAACCAGACCAACTGCCCAACATGGAAAGGGAAATGCTGCAGCGTGACCCTCCTCATCCTCCCCAAGCCAGCCTGACTGTCCTGGAGGAGGACCCAGGACCCTGAGCAAGGGAAAGGGGAAGGGCTGGGTCATGACGGAAGGAGGAGGACCAGGTACCTTCGTGCTCCTCCACCCACCTGGGGAGAAGCTAATGGAGTTGGAGCTCCACCTGGAGAAGCAGATGTGACCATCTTGACCTCATAGCCAAAGGAGACAGGATGCCTCAAATGCTGAACACTGGAAGAGATCACCTAGGAAAAATGGGGAATTTCCATTCCTGGATGTCTGAAAAGATAAGAGACTTCCCATCAGTGTGGAAAATGACAGCTTCTCTACCAGCATTCCCAGCTCTCTCTGGGCACCCCCTCTTCTGACCTCTCTCTGTCAGTGCTCTGCCTGCTGCTCACATCTAGTCTACTCCAATACACCCATCTTGCCTGCTCAAGTAAAGGCTAAGCCCCTTTAGCACACTGACTGTGTTTTATCCATCTCACTGTGTCTGGAAGTCACTACACAGGGCTCAAAGAGGTCCCTCAAAAAAGGAGACAGTGACCTTACCTCACCCAGCCCGTGGGGTAGGTTGTAGCTTCTTTACTTATGCCACAGAAAAGAATTACTGGACGCATCAGTGAGAAACAGATTACTAGGCAGAGCTAAAGAAGTCTACAGGCAGGAAAAATAAAGCATAGGTCTTCAAGAGAGAGGCACGTTACGGTCTAGGTTTGGGAGTTTTTATGTCATCTTCAGATATTCTCCAGATTGGTGACCCAGGATGTGTGTGCCTGCTTTCCGTCAGGTCACCTGTTTAGTGGGCTGTGTTAGAATGCAACTATTTGCACCCAGAGAATGTTCAATTCAGTGGGACCCCAGTAAGTATTCATGACGACTGGCTGGCTGGAAAGACACCAGTTTGGTGGCCTCTAGGGACCTGCCCAGCCAAGCGCTCTGAATGCCCCTGGGCCTCTGCCCTTCGTGTGGGAGTCCCCTAAGATGGTCCTTTCAGCAGGTCTCCCTGCACTGAGACCAAAGGGAAGAGCATCCATTGCTCACATCATCCCGCCCCATTGGGACTCATCCTGGTTATGCTGCCGACCTTGTGACCCAGTCAAGATTTTCTGGGATTTTCCTAAACTCATGGGTATTTTTTAGTAGATTTTCACCTTCTTTGTAAAAGTTCTCTTGTTCGATTTCTTAAGAATCCTTGATATCAAGGACTAACAACAAAGCCAGAAAATGGTTTGGGGGGTAGAGCGGGGGACAAAGGAGAGGAGTTTTATTTGGATTTTGCCTTATAATCACATTACCTCATGTCTGCTAGGGAGCTTTCTCTCCATCCTTGACCTCACTGTCTTTTCCAGAATCGCATCTGTTCTTTTCCCTTGCCAGATGCTGTCAAGGACTCTGAGTTTGGACAGAGGAATCTTGGAGCAATGGAAGCAGAAGGGAGAGAAGGCTTCCAATGCCAAGTTAAGAACTGTCAGGAGAACATTTTCAGGAGGCCCAGCTCTCGCTCTGAATTGTCGGCAGCATCTGACATCCTTGAGTAGCCCTTCACCATTTCCGGTTCTAAACCCAGAGGCGCCACCAAGAACCCCAGAGAGGCAGTCTCCGCCTTTGAGAGAGACACGTGTTGCTTGGGACAGGGTGGGAAGTGGCACGCACCTAGCCAAATGGATGGTAGAATTTCAGAGCGGAGAGATCCTTAGAGACTAATGAGTCTAAAACCCCCAGGCAGAAATGAGGGGACTATACCAGGGCCTGCGTGGCGGAGGGGTCTGCAGAGTGGGAGTCCCGGTGGTGGGAGATTGAGAAAGGACAAAGACGAAGAGATACAAAAGAACAAAGAGAAGCAAAGCTGGGGCCAGGTAGGGCTCTAACTCCTGATGGGAGAAAAAGACCCCAGGCAACTGCAGCACCTTTATTTGTAGTGTAGAGATAAGAGAAGTGCAGGGGAAGGCAAAGGGGCTGGTCTGTAACCCTGTAACCGGAGCCCGGAGAGTAGCTAAGGTCTGCAGGACGTCATGCTTGAGGGTTTTCTGGGGAATGGACGGGAGGAAGATGCATCCTCTCCTCAGCCAGGCCTTGTTCCACCACGCCCTCTTGTCACCTGTTCTCCTCCTGAGGGACCCTGCCTCATCCACAGGAGGAGGCAAGTTGGGCCTGGCCAGTGCGATCTACAGCACAGCGCTCTCCCAGAACTAACATCATTGACTTAACCCAGCTGTTGACAGCAGAGTGAGGACTAGAGGCAAGAAATCGTGACCTCGGTCTGGTGCGTCCCCACTCCACCACTGCTAAGCAGTGTGTCGAAGCAAAACTAATTACTACACCCCCGATACCACAGTCCTCTCTCCAGACTCTTTTTGTGCCCACTAAACTCTCTCAGGGACTTGCCTGGAAAACCCTCAGACCAGGCAGGACAGACTTCCTTATCCCGTGCCAACAGGAAGGTGAGCAGGCCCCGGTGGGCATGCAATTCAGCCAAGGCCACTTAGCTTATTGACAGGGCTGGGCTAAGAACTCGGCCGTTAGCTCCACCCAACCGCTGTTTACCAGAGGCGTCCACGGAACACCAGCCTCTCAGGATGTTAAGGGGTGTTCATGGGCAAAGCAGGTTTGATAGATCTAACTAGTTTGGGGAATGCTAAGGTAAACAGCAAACGCCTTAAGCTATGCAGATTTCTCAGAGCCTTCCACCTCCGAAGGAACATCATAAACGCCTCTGAAGGTGGGAATGTTAGGCATGTCTCCCAAGCCCGTTAGGGAGGCTATGATGTTTTGTGAAGCAGTCTCACTGCACTGGAATCCCTCAAATCACTCCTTAGGGAAGCCCTGAGCACTAGAGCAGGGATCAGCCAGCTTTCACTACAAAGGACCAAGGTGTAACTGTTTCAGGCTTTGCAGGCCTCGCTGCCCCTATGGTAGCCCCTCGGTTCTGTCTGTGCAGCACAGGAGCAGCCAAGGTGGCTCATTCACCCATGGCTGTTGCTGCGATCCAGCAGAACCTGTTTGCAGAAACAGGAAGAGACTGCATTTAACCTTGAGCCATGACTGGTCAACCCCTGCCCCAATTCTTGAGGACTTTGCGACTCTGCCCTCTCTGGTCCGAGGGTCAGACCCTCCTCTTCAAGAGCTTCCTGGATGCCCTCTCTGGGACCTCTCCTTCTCTGAACTGCTCTGATACTTTTTGTTTGGGACAGAACAGCTAGAGCCTGTCTGGCTGCCCCATTTGGTGGGGGAGGGGGGGAGGGAGGGACAGCCAGGCACCACGAGTGCCCAGAAGCAAGGATGTTTTAGAGAAAGCTAAGATGTGGCGGTGGGAAGAGCCAGTACAAGGCCGGAAGAAAGGCCCAAGAGCTTGGAGGGAGGCAGAGATAAGATGTGGAGGTGCAAGGAAGAAAGCACACCGGGACCGTCCCACTGTTTACAGCCCTCCTTTAGGGGCCAACTGCTGCAGGGCTGGGGCAGCAGCTGCGCTTAAAGGGCCAGAGGCGAAAGAGCAGAGCAGTTCAACTCCACTGCTTGGTAACATCAGAGATTCCTTTTTAAATATCACCTCATAGCCCCAGCTAGAGCAGTGGCCCCACCTTGCCACGGGGCTAGAATGAGAGGAGCCTCTGCTTTCTAATGCAGGAAGCAGAAAAGCCACTGATTTTCATGAGATGGGGCAGCTTCCCAGGTCAGGGCCAGCTCCCCTTCTGTCAGTGCAGCTGCTGCTTGATCATGTGTGTCTACATGGCACATTCTGCAGGGCATTTGATGCCACATCTCTGAAAGGTGGCAGTGGTCGTCCCCATTTTACAACTAAGAAAGCCGAGGTCCAGGGAAATGAAGTAGTTATGCAGCGGGGAAAGGGCAGGCTGGAACTTGAATTCAAGACAGTCCAGCTCTGAAGCCTATATCCTCAGCCTCTGTGCCGCCCTGCCTCCCTCTTTGTTTGGATTTATTCCCATTTAGAGTTCTACAGGTTTGCTGCTTTCTGTCTTTTTGGCTTGTGTATGAAAAGTTACATAATCATTTCCTGTAATTTGTGATCTCTAGTCACTAATTAGCTTATTCCTTTCCTGGCCTAGTGAAATGTTAAAAAATTAAAAAAAGAAAGCAATTGGAGGAGCCAGGCTGAGAGCTAAAATCTCAGACACTAGCCCTGGTATTTGGAACAAGGGCTCAGGTGTTAGTGACCCATGAGGGTGGCTGTCTATCTCGGTTACAGAAACAGGTGCGCCCTAAGCCAACACTTCCCTGCTGTCCACCAGCACTCAGGGGTCCCTTCTCTGTATTCAGTGTGGTCTGAGAAGCACAGAAACCACTTCCTAGCAGCCACAGTCAGAC